CCTTTCTTCAAATGTAAATTAGATGGGTAGGCCTTTCTTCAAAGGTAAATTAGATGGGTAGGGCTTTCTTCAAAGGTAAATTAGATGCAACTTTTCAACTTCTTTGAAGATTTATTTTCTTAGATTCATGACACACAAAATATTAGAAAGAAAGACAGAAAAGAAATTTGTTTAAACTTTTTTTTTTATAAGAAGTATCATATTACATGTTTATCTTAAAATATTATTTTTACAATTAGGTTTCATTAACACATTTGCTGCCATGTGCCCCACCGGTGGGCAGGTGACAACAGACTTTTAGTTATGGACTGTGTGACAAACTGATGGGTAAACACAATTATGTTTCAAACCAAATTTCTCATATGAGTTTAGGACACTGTAACTGTTCCTCGGCACTTCTTGAATGTTTATTTTTTTTTATATTTATTATGTAGCACCAAACATGTTGAGCCAATGAATCTTCTGTGAATAATATTAAATCTTGTTTTTTTAGCACAAAGTCACACAGTTACAAAATTAGGCTATTTACACTCTGTCCAGCATGGGGAATCAAACCCTAGATTTTAGCATTTTAAGAAAGTGAACTTAATACTGACCAACTTGAAGACAATGATATATATCCACCTTTGTTGGATATACATGTAAGAATTTTGACAAGTTTGTACCTTATGACATTTTCGTAATCTCTAGCATCTTCGTATGCTTTTGCTGCCTCTTGATAACGGCCATCAGCTTCCTTTGCCTTCGCGTACTGAGCATGAATCTTTGGGGAAACGACGTTAGGCAGTAATTCTCCAACCTTGTTCCTACAATATTCCAACACTTGTTAAACTTTACTGTTAGATAACTCTTTACACCTGCTTTTGTAGCAAGCATGTTTATTAACTCTGTCTAAAACAGAAAGCAGAAACAACTCATAGGTTTGAAGTTTTTATGAAGTAATTGTTAAACATTTATTTCCACCAATGAAATACCAATTTAATTAAATAATTGCCTATGAGCAGTGATTAGATCAGTTAAATTTCATGTAAACTAATAGATAAGTTCAAATTACAATTGAATCGACGATTCAAAATTAGTATTTCTGATTATTACTGTTTTTTATTTTAATAATGGATTAAATTAATTGTCACAAAAATAACCAATTAATTGAAATTATAATTAACCCTCGTATGACACAGATGGGTCAAAGTGCACATGTCAGGATCTGATTAAACAGATTGTACATAAGTCAGTGCCTAAATAAGACAGATGGGTCAAAGTGCACATGTCAGGATCTAATTAAACAGATTGTACATAAGTCAGTGCCTAAATAAGACGGATGGGTCAAAGTGCACATGTCAGGATCTGATTAACCAGATTGTACATAAGTCAGTGCCTAAATAAGAAGTTCTCCTTAATCTTGCTCTTTTCTTATAACATTGAATTTAAAATAATCTATATCAACTAAATAAAAATTTCAATATTTCTTGAACCTTATAATGAAATCTAAAAATATTAGCATCATGCTAAATGATAGTTGATTGTAACATGAACCTTCATCATTGCAACTTTCAAACAACATACTGCAGTACAACTACTGCCAAAACTTGGTAACAGCCCAGGAAGATAAACTTACCAGTTTTTAAGCCTGATGTACAACGATGCAGCCTTATCATAGTAATTCCCTTTTTCATACAAGACGGCTGCTTCAGCATATTGCTGTATTTGGAAAAATTATAAAAATCTTTCAGATGTTATATATATATATATATAAATATATAGTGGGGGACTAAAAGAAACAACAGAATATCCAATAGATAGTCTACGGTAACAACAAACTACACCAAATACCAATCATTCCCACTGACAATATCAGATGTCAATGATTTATTATATAGTTTTTATTATTGTCAAGTATATTTGTATAACATACAAATTATGTTTAATTCTCCTTTATAAAATCTAATATGTGTCTTCGAGATTATATTTAAATTAAGAAAACATGCTAACTTGTTAATTAACAAATAATCATATAACGTGTACTATAATCATGGTTTGGGAAGAAAAATATGAGTTTTTTTTTTTTACTTTATTACAATATTTACTCCTTTAGATAAGAAATACATGTAGGGTTAAATATCTTTTATAAAAGAACATGTTGAAGACAGAAGTTTAATGCATATAATGTCTAACCAATTATTATGTGTCTGGTTTATGAAGTTATCTAAGCTACAGACCTTCATTGACTCAAGGATTTCAGCACACTCCTTCTTCAACGTCCTGCTTTCGGACTTTTGAGCAATCTGAACGCCCCTTAAGAACAAACAGAAAGGAATGAATAAATGAGCTTCAAACCAAACTATTGAAACATCTTTTGGTTTTTAGTTTGTATATAGATATCTTTATTGTATAATTCAGACATCAGAACAAATCCAAAACATAAAACAGATGTAACCAAAACCACTTATGGAATTGATTTTATTTTGATGAAAAGTTTGACGAGATACAAACAAGTGTACCAGGTTGAAACAATAATTCTATGTAATTAAATTCAGATAACATAACACTATTTATAATATTATTAAAAACAGATATTTATCTATGAATTAAATACAATGTTTATACTTGAAAAAACTAACAATATATTCAACAAAAAACCTTATTTATAAGACCAACAAGACTGAAAAAGGACAATATTTTGACTAGGAGTTAAAATATGTTTAGAGAGAATGACTATAAAAATGACTATATAAGTCTTTTATTGGTCATTGTTTTCGAGATATACTTGACAGAACAATGTGGAATTCATGAAGAAACTTGAGCTAGTCCTGTAAAATAATAAATGTCCATTAAATGCTTGTAATTATGACATGAGTGATGAGTGACATTCTGGCTATAACTGGGTTTACTAACCTTCTGATATCACTGCACCTGAGGGACATTCTGGCTATAACAGGGTTTACTAACCTTCTGTTATCACCGCACCTGAGAGACATTCTGGCTATAACAGGGTTTACTAACCTTCTGTTATCACCGCACCTGAGAGACATTCTGGCTATAACAAGGTTTACTAACCTTCTGATATCACCGCACCTGAGGGACATTCTGGCTATAACTGGGTTTACTAACCTTCTGATATCACTTCACCTGAGGGACATTCTGGCTATAACTGGGTTTACTAACCTTCTGATATCACTGCACCTGAGGGACATTCTGGCTATAACAAGGTTTACTAACCTTCTGATATCACCGTGCCTGAGGGACATTCTGGCTATAACAAGGTTTACTAACCTTCTGATATCACCGCACCTGAGGGACATTCTGGCTGTAACTGGGTTTACTAACCTTCTGATATCACTGCACCTCAGGGACATTCTGGCTATAACTGGGTTTACTAACCTTCTGATATCACTGCACCTGAGGGACATTCTGGCTATACCAGCATTACAAGTTTCATCGTGGTCATGATACTAGAAGGAAACAAATATTGGTGTAAGAAATTAAAACTCAGAGATACTAAATACGTAGTTCACATTAATTATGGTTATCAATGGCTATAACCTTAACACATATTAATTTTGTATTTTAAAATAATCAGAGGTCTTTTTTTTCTTTATTAAATCAAGGTAATGATAAAAAACGTTATCTAACATGGTGATCTCCTGTTGTGAATTAAAGACATAACAAGAGGTAGGCAAACAATGATTTATAAACATAAGGAAGAGATTCATTGATGGTGTAACATACTAAATGTTTCAACAGAACATTGGTCTGGTTCCTTCTACCTGAACACTCAACATAATTGGTTAACTATTAGCAACAATCACATCATTTAGTGTTATATAAACTAATCAATTAATCAACTGCCTTTCATTATTCTTAGAATCGATTAATCTAAATCATAATTACATTGATTATCACAAAAATAATCAACTAATTGAAATTTGGGTTTCCAATTATTTCTATTTAAGATTATTCAAACTATCCAAAAATAAAATTATTGCAACTAAACTTTATTAGTCTGCCTTTGTCATAGAAAAGCTACTAAGGATATCTGCAACAGTCACTAATTTTGAACTACTGACCAATGAGGGAAGGCAACTGG